TGAACAATGTTGCCATGGTTACTAGAAATAGAATTTTCTGAGAAATTCCTTTAAAACGCTACTCCTTCTACAGTTTTAGTCTCATTTCAATATCACATGGCACACAAGTAGACTACACTAAGATACATAAAATAGTGCATCGGTTTTTTATTTCGATGAGCGGTGTTGCCATGGTTACTAAAAATAGAATTTTCTGAGAAATTCCTTTAAAACGCTACTCCTTCTACAGTTTTGGTCTGATTTCAATATAAGTTGGCACACAAGTAAACTACACTAATTTACATATAATAGTGCATCCAGTCTACGCGAAAGTTTAAAATATTTACAGGACAAAATGTCTGGTAAAAATAAAATTTTTACCAGACCAAGCAATTTTTTACCAGACCGACTTTTTTCCTTTAAATCTATACATCATTATGATACTGAAATTGAGAGGGTGGGTGGGATTGGGTTAATTCTCATTTTGAAATTTATCCTTGAATAAATTCAGAGTGAAATGGACAAGTTAACTATTTATAATTTTCCTTTGTAAAAGGTCTCAATTCATGCAATATTGCATGCATTTTTTTCTTCATATTTGACTTGCATGTATACAACATACACTGTATCAAAGATTTTCTTAAATTTAATATGCACTTTCAATTCATATTTATTTTTCCTGAAACAACTCATTATGGTTACTCAAGTTCAGTGATCATTTGAAAATAACTTCCCAACCCAATCTACGAATGAGCTATCTAAATATTTTCCCAACCAAATCTAGGTATGAGCTATCTAAAGATCTCTAACCCCTGAAAGAGGAAATTCGAATTAGAATAAAAACGATCATGACAGGGTTGTAATACATAAAAATTAATCAGGTATTACTGCTAAATTGGTCAAATAAAGGATATTTGTGGGGAATTGGACCATGTGTACCTCTTAATTTAGATTTATTTGGCCTTATTTTTTTATCGGACAATTGGTCCTGTATACTGAAATTTTTTACCGACCCGACCTAAATTTTACCGGTAAAAACCAACGGTCCGGTGACTTTCGCATAGACTGTGCATCGGTTTTTGATTTCGATGAACGGTGTTGCCATGGTTACTAAAAGTAGAATTTTCTGTGGAATTCCTTTAAAATGCTACTCCTACAGTTTTGGTCTGATTTCAATATAACTTATCACACAAGTAGACCACACTAAGATACATAATTCTGTGCATCGGTTTTTGATCAGTACAAACCAGGAGAGCTACAGTCTCGACAGAGACTTCTGGTTTTTTATTATTAAAGATTCTAGGGTATACAGTTTTTGCCCTGTCTGTAAATCTGATAGCAAAAATCTAACCTTTTATGCCCGTAAGTTTTTATCTGAATGGAGAGATGGCTTTCAAATATTTGTGTGTGTATTCCTTGTGACAAGAGCCTTCTTTTACATATTCAAACATGTTTGAACTTAAGAGTTCTACTCACTTTTAAAAACTTTAGCCTAGGTCTTAACTTTTGAACAAAATTTTTATAAGGGATAGGGCTTTCATATTACATGGGTATATTCCAGGTATATTCCTTTTGTTTGATGCAAACAATTTTGACCTTGAAGTGTGGCTTATTAGAAAAATTAAAATTTGACCATAACTTTTGAACGGTTGGTTCCAGGACTTTGATATTTCAAGTATATTTCTTGTGACTTGCCCTTTCCATGGCTATCATTGATTTTGACCCTATGACCTTCAAGTTTGGCCCATTTTTAAAAAGATTTAACCTGGGCCATATCTTGTGAACAGTTTGTTCTTTTTTGGCTTTCGTATTTGACAGGTACATGTATATTTTAATATTAACAGAGGACGATTTTGAAGACATCATGCCAAAATCGGAGAGAATCAGCACCTACATAACCAAATTGATTAGCTGGAGGCCTCCATGTTTTGGAAATCATCCTTTCTCTGACGAGGAAGAGGAGAGATATGATGAAGATATGATGAAGAAGAGGGAAGACATAGCCCAGAGACTGGGACAGAATCTACCAAATAATGATCTCATTGAACCAGGTTAGCTTCATTGATTACAAGGAATCAGTCTTTTACAATTTAGTATTTTATTTCCAAATATCTTGTATCTTTTTGTCTGAGATACAGACAAATTAAAGAGATGTAGACAGAGATTGTAATGTTTGATTAAATCTCATGAGTTCAGAGTTGCAAAAGCAGTTCGGATTGATAATGATATTTAGTAAAAATACATATATAGTGATAGATGTAGAAAAAAATTTATCTGAAAATAACCAAAACTATAAATTTATAATATAATATAATTGTAAATATTATCTATAATTTTAAAGAAAAATTTGAAATCTATTGTGTATAAACAAAAGATAACATTTGAGAAGCACAAGGAGATTGGGAACATCTAATTTTTTAGCTCACCTGAGCCGAAGGCTCAAGTGAGCTTTTCTGATCACATTTTGTCCGGCGTCCATCTGTCCGTCTGTCTAGCTCTCCGTCTGTTTGTAAACTTTTCATATTTTCGACTTCTTCTCAAGAACCGCTGGGCCAATTTTAACCAAACTTGCCACAAAGTATCCTTGGGTAAAGGGGATTCAAGTTTGTTCAAATGAAGGGCCACGCCCTCATTCAAGGGGAGATAATTAGGAATTAATGAAAATTTGGTGGCATGTTTTAAAAATCTTCTTCTCAAGAACCACTGTGCCAGGAAAGATGAAACTTATAGGGAAACATCCTCAGGTAGTGTAGATTCAAATTTGTTCAAATCATGACCCCCAGGGGTAGGGCGGGGCCAAAATGGCCGACCAAAGTTTTACATAGAAATATATAGGAAATTTCTTTAAAAATCTTCTCCCAGGGTTCGACACTAACGCTAGCCCGCTGGCCCGGGACAACTGAATATTGAGGTCGGGCTACCAAACATGTCTTTAAACTTGCCCTGCAGGGCTACAGTAAATTTTACCAATTACTCACTAAGAGCAAGAAAAATAATTATAATTTACATACAATATAACTGATAATAGTTAAATTTATTTTCAAATATGTTTTATCAGCATAACTATAATTTTTTAAGTCAAAAATGTAAACTTTAAAGGTGATTCAAAATCCCTAAATGATATAAATATAGAATTTTTCGAACAGCAAAAATGTCTCAGGTACAATCATAGAGTGACCTATAATTTACACCCAAAATTCAGCCAGAATGCAGGATTTCGCATCTCTATTTTCAAATTTTTCCGGGGGAGGCCCCCCGTACCCCCACCAGCAGGAGGGGGAAACCCCCTCCCGCATCTACCCCCCTCGTCGCTTCGCGACTCGGCCAGCAGCCGAAGGCTGCTGGACAACTAATACATGAACAGGGCTAGTAGAAATTAGAAATTACTAGCCCTGCTGACAACTATGGTTATAAAGTTAGTGTCGATCCCTGTTCTCCTCAAGAACAACAAAGCCAAAATTGATCATATTTATATGGAAGCATCCTCAGGTAGTGTAGATTCAAGTTTGTTCAAATCATGACCCCCAGGGTAGGACTGAGGGCCAAAATGGCCGACCAAAGTTTTACATAGAAATATATAGGAGAATTCTTCAAAAATCTTCTTCTCAAGAACAGCAAAGCCATAATTGATCATATGTATATGGAAGCATCCTCAGGTAGTGTAGATTCAAGTTTGTACAAATCATGACCCCCGGGGGTAGGGCGGGGCCAAAATGGCCAACCAAAGTTTTACATAGAAATATATAGGAAATTTCTTTAAAAATCTTCTCCTCAAGAACAACAAAGCCAAATTGATCATATTTATATGGAAGCATCCTCAGGTAGTGTAGATTCAAGTTTATTCAAATCATGACCCCCAGGGATAGGTCGGGGCCAATATGGCCGACCAAAGTTTTACATAGAAATATGTATGAAAATTCTTTAAAAATCTTCTTCTCAAGAATAGCAAAGCCATAATTGATCATATTTATATGGAAGCATCCTCAGGTAGTGAATATTCAAGTATGACCCCCTGGGGTAGGGAGGGGCCAAAATGGCCGACCAAAGTTTTACATAGAAATGTATAGGAAAATTCTTTAAAAATCTTCTTCTCAAGAATAGCAAAGCCATGATTGGTCTTGGGACTACTTTTGGATTTAAGCTTTTCAAGTATACCCTGGTAAACCAATTCTGCTTTTTCCTAGCCACAGTGCTCAGGTGCGCGATGTGGCCCCTGGGCCTCTTGTTTAAATTACTGAGAGAAGGGAAAAGAGTGGGTTTTAATCTGAGGGTTTACTCGTCAGGTTGTTGATGACCAAGACATTCTAACAAAATCTAACTAAATAGAAGTAATTCATTCCATCATTTTATTTTGATAGTTATGTCTGAGGAGGAATTTCTTTCTGTGGAACCCCTGGAGGAAATCCCCTTACCAACCCTAGCCTCCATTTCAGCAGGAGTGGAGTCATTTCCTGGTCTGGATGATTCTGTGGACATTGTGACTAGCATGGGTACTCTTCAACTCCATGACCTCTCACCTGTGCTAAACACTTGACCTGTTATATTTACATATTGAATCCAGTGAAAATCACATGGCTGAGTTTATTTTTTAGAACAGATTTATGATTTTATAGACTGTTTATACATGTTTCCTAACAGAACTTTTCATAAAGTTGAGAGATGTGTAAAATTGGTAAGAAATTGAAAAAAATTGAGGGTTAGTATGTGCTGCTGAATATTAAAACCATAGGTTTATTTTTTATTTCTCATTTTCAAACAATATTTTCTGAACAACAGATAAATTTTGGTGATACTGCATTCTTGATTCAATTTTTTTGCAACTACCGGTAAATGTATTTGAATTTTCACACCAGTTTCACAGTTGTACTTTTTAAAAATTCATTTTTACTGCATTTCATTCATTCATTTTATGTTTTATTTTGTATTTCCTCATTGTATCATACCTGTACAAATGTTTTTACATGGAATAAAGTTTATAATAATTTTTTATCCCATCTTATTTCAAATCATTTTTACACCCATAGTACATGTAATTTGAAATGATCAAACACCGTATAATCCCTATTAACCGCCCTGGGTGCTTAGAAAATTGCAAAAAGGGGGTGGTTATTTTGGTATTCTGTTTATATTATCTAATGTCAAATTTTAACATCAAAAAATCTTTAGAAAACAAGATGTGTTTGTGAAACACTGATGCCCCCTTATGACAACACATCGTCGGATACCCACGGGTGATCTCATCTTTTACTTATCGCTTAACACTTATCGTGATAAGTAAAAGACGAGATCACCTGTGGGTATCCGACGATGACAATATAGCAAAGATTAAACTTTTCTTACATGCAAATTTAATATATTGGTATCCAAAGTAGGGTATTCTCACTGGAAATACAATCGTGAAATATGAAAGTAGGCCAAGGTTAAAGTTTTTTCATAAGTACGGAAATCTCCAAGGTCAAGGTAATTGGTATCCAATGAAAGGTCTTGCCACAAAGAATACATATGTGAAGTATAGAAGCCCTAGCTCTAACCCTTCAAAAGTTATGGCCAAGGTTACCAGTTTTAAAAAGTAGGTCTAACTCCAAGGTCAAGATCAAAGGGTCATAATTCTTGATATCAAATGAAAGGTCTTGTCACAAGGATTGAATATGAAAAGTGTGAAAGCACAAGCCCTAACCCTTTAAAAGTTTTGATCAAGGTTTGTTTTGTTTTTTTAAGCATGTCAAACTCCAAGGTCAAGGGGTCAAAGTTCCTGGTATTTAATGAAAGGTCTTCTTACAAGGATTACATATGTGAACTATGAAAGCCCTAGCCCTTAGCGTTCAAAAGTTATTGCCAAGATTAAAGTTTTTTCATAAGTACTAAAATCTCCAAAGTCAAGGTCAAAAGGTCAAGATTATTGGTATCTAATGAAAGGTCTTACCACAAAGAATACATATGTGAAGTATGAAAGCCCTTGCCCTAACCCTTCAAAAGTTATGGCCAAGGTTACCAATTTTGAAAAGTAGGTCAAACTCAATCAATGTCAAAGGGCCAAATTTGGTGGTACCCAAAGAAAGGTCTTGTCAAACAAGGATTAAATTTGTAAAGTATAAATGCACTAACCCTAACCCTTTAAAAGTTATGATCAAGGTTTGTTTTTTTTAAAGTAGGTCAAACTCCAAGGTCAAAGGGTCAAAGTTCTTCGTATCCAATGAAGGGTCTTCTCACAAGGATTACATATGTGAAGTATGAGAGCACTAACCCTTAGCGTTCAAAAGTTATGGTCAAGGTTACAGTTTTTTTTTTCATTAGTAGGGAAATCTCCAAAGTCAAGGTCAAAAGGTCAAAGTTGTTGGTACTTCAATGAGAGATCTTTCCACAAGGAATACATGTATGAAGTACAAAAATCCTGGTATCTACTGTTCAAAAGATATGGCCAAAGTAAAAGTTTGGAATTTTTGTGTAAAAATGGGTCAAACTCCAAGGTCAAAAGGTCAAATTTGGTGGTACCCAAAGAAAGGTCTTGCCACAAGGAATACACATGTGAAATATGAAAATCATAGTTCCACTAAATCAAAAGTTATGGGCAAGGTTAATGTTTTTGTGGACAAACAGACAGCTAGACAGACAGACGGACAGACACGACAAAAACTATATGCCCCGAAACTTCGTTTACGGGGGCATAAAAAATTCAAAGAACCACTAAAATAATGTCTTTATTTTACTTTAAGTGAAGATAATCCACCCAAATTATGCTAAATAATTCATTTTCCACTTTTCCACAAGTAAAAATTGATTGCTGCAAAGCTCTACACTGCACACTAAAGAGTTCTGATTCTAAGGTATTTTTCTGCAGTTAGAGTGATCTGCCCTTAGATCTAAATTCTAAAAAATATATATTTACAATGTATTACTCAATTTTCAATTAATTCAAGTATTCTTAATATTTTAAAAGGCCAAGACAAATTAACTGAACGTGTTATTCACATGTATTTTTCTCTACTTAAGTACACTGTAATTAATAGTGATTTCTATTCACCGATACTGTGTTGTCTTTGAACATTTTTCCCGGGGGTAAATGCCACGCACCATACAGTGAAAATTAGATAAATATGCTCAATATTAACTCCTTTATACAATATATTTTTCTCAATGTCCAAAAAAAATTTTGCACTAGTGTAGAGAGGGTCCTTAATCCCCCCTCTCCTTCTGTGAAAATATTTTTTAACTCCGTAAGCCTGATCAAGTCATCAGATTTAAGATTCTTTGATCCACTCCACTTGATCGCCACATGTGTAGTGATCTAGTGGTGCGGATCAAATGGTCTAATTTTAATTAGATTGTCAACTTCAGGAGTTTCTGATAAGAATCTTGTTAGAACCACTGTGCTAAAAAATAACGAGTTGAAGTCAGGACTGGTCATTTATAAGCGCAATAAAAGAAGGTAATATGTTATAGATTACACGTGAAACAAGGAATTGTGTCATCGTTTGGACTTACAAACTTGTATATGTGCCAAGGATTAAAACAAGGTAAACATGTCCGACTCGGTGATTAATATTTAAATACACCAGTACAGTCAAGCTACTGATTATCCGAACTGTAGTTAACCATGCCTGTACTCAATATATAATTATACTAGAAAAAGGTTTTATATGTATGTGCATTAAATGATCTGTCAAAGTGACGATTATTATTGTATTGGTAGAACTATTTACTTAATGTCCTTAAAAAACTCGTCAACCCAAACAGGCTCAGGGGCGTAGTATCCGGGGGGGCCAGGGGGGGGGGGGGGCCAGGCCCCCCCACTTTTTTTCCCAACCTTACTTACACTATCGGAAATGTTAATTCAAAGCCTGCTGCCCCCCCCCCCCCCACTTTTAGAAATGTACCGAAAATGTAGTATAAGAATTGGTACTTAAAGTAGTTGACACTGAAAAAAACTTTACCTACCCCCCCCCCCCCCCCCCCCCCCGAAATAGCCACTTCCCCCCATTTTTTTTTTTTTTTTTTTTTTCCTTGTCAACTTTTTCAGGTAAGTAAAAAAATTTTTTTTCTCTGCCTGGCCCCCCACTTTCAAAAACGATGCTACGCCACTGAGGCTTGTCTAAAGATTGCAATTTATTCAGTTTTTTTTTCAGGGGGGGGGGGGTGTTCGATTGGAGGGCGGGATTCACTTCCATAAGAAAATCTTTGCCCCCCCCCCCCTCCAAAAAGCACTAGTCATCAGGCGTAAAAATACGAGGGCTATTCAGTAAGTAATGTCATAAGCTCGATGACATACAACATAGACATCATATGACATTAAGCTTGACTTTCTCTCATCATCAAATCTTTAACGAAAAAAAAGACAATTACAGAAATCATCGGATCTGTAATATTCCAGTATACGAAGGGCCGTTCTCAAAATGTGTTCTAAAAACAATTACAATGAAGCGCATTGAAGTGGTAAAATTTTCCGTTTGGATGAAACGTTCTGAGTCATGTTTTGAACGTCAATTATTTCAGAATGGCACGCCCATTTCTTTAGAAACGAACAAGAAATATTCGTCGCAACGTTTTAGGACACCCCACTCTTTGCGACAAGCAACATGAGTTACGCCGAAATGGAGATTTTTAAAGTTATAAGAGAGATTTAGAGAGTTCCAGCTTCTGTAAAACACGTATTGCAACGAATTTGCACATAATTATGAATTTATCATGTTTATTGGAGTTACGATAACACATGTATCGGTCGAACACGTGCTTACTCTGTGTTTATGTAGACCGTCAATTTGATTGGCTATTATATTTATGGAATACCTGTTCCACAGGTATTCGAATGAACCATTTGACCGATTCTTCTTTTCTAAAGAAATGGGCGTGTCATTGTATAACAATCAACGTTCTAAAGATAGCTCAAAACGTTCCATTCAAACGGGAAATTTTACCACTTCAATGCGCTTCATTGTAGAAATTGGATAAAAATGTTATGGACGTGTTTTAATTAAAAAGGCAGGCACGTAGCAACCTGGGGGGCTGCCCCCCCCCCCACCACTTTTTTTCCCAATAATACTTTTACTATTGGAAATGTCTCTTAAAAGGCTGGTTCCCCCCCCCCCCCCATCACTTTTTACTAGAAGCTAATGATATCAAGGAAATGTAGTACTGAATGCCAAAAAACTGGTACTGAAAGAAGTTGGCGTTGAAAAAAGTTGGTCCCCCCCCCCCCCCCCCCCCCCGCGAAATAGAATTTCCTTTTTTTTCCTATTTTTTTTTTTTTTTTTTGGCTTGTCAACTTTTTCGGGTAAGTCAAAAAAAAATTTTCTCTGGCTGGGCCCCCCCCCCTCACTTTCAAAGACGATGCTACGTGCCTGAAAGGAATATCTAAGTAAAATCATTAAAAAGAGTTTTTTTTTGTTTCTTTCCGAGCACCGGTGACATTATTTATTGAATAGCCCAGTTGGATCGGGTAACAAAAAAATTGAAAATATTAGTGAAAGATTTATATGTAATTTATGTTGAAAAAATTTAAGCTTGGAATATTTTTCTGTTTTTAAAGAAAATGGCTGAACTAGGAAAAGAAAAGCACTTAAAAAAATAACACTTTCACTTTTTTTCCGATAAATATTTGAAGTCCTTCTTGAAAGCCAATGATCGTATCACGCATCATCCTCTGGAAAAATTCCCGTATATCATGCATTAACTTTAATTATTTAAATGAAGAGCAGAAAAGAGTAATATTATACATGTATGATATGATTTTTTTTTCTACTCAAGATATGATCCAACATGTCAGACGAAAATCGAACCGTGTTGAATCCTGGTGAGAAAGTTCAACCGGAAATAAAAAAGGATGATGCCCGTCGCCTGGTGTTCCGTCTTTACGGACTCTCGGTCACCCGAGTAGAAGAACTGAACAGCTATGACGACAAAAACTTCCACATCCACGTAGACACGTCCACTTCCGGTGACGTCAAACTGTCAGAAGAGGGATATGTTCTGAAAATCCTCAACTCTCTCGATTCCAGATTTCCAGAAGCGATTGGTATGAAATAAGGCAATGCTTTATTTTGTCATGTTGTAAATTTTGAATTTACCGGGTGGCAGTAAATACAAAATTGTAAAGGATGACTGCACTTAACGCCGGTTTTTGGGTCTTTTTCAATCTCTATTGTCACATTTATTTTTGTTTTTATTTTTGCCTTAAGTCATTTGTTATAGAGTTTGGTCTATTTCCAAATGAAATGCGATGTCAAATTGGTTATAAACTGCACTAAAATGATTTGTTATTTTCTTACCCCACCTCTCTGCAAATATCGGGAAATTAGACTTATCTGCCCTTGATTGAAGATAAGATTTATAAATATGCATAAGAGGTGGAGCTAATATTGTAATGAGTGGTCTAAAATTAGAATAGTTACTGTATTTATATTCGGTGCATTTCTCTCGTTTGTCACTATTATTTTTTAAGTTTTCAAATAAAGTATATAACTAATAACAAATAACATCGACCGGTAGAAGTAGCCATTGATAATCAACAGCAATGGCTGATGTCAGCAATTCGCGTGTTCGAATATAAGTACCGACTAGCTCAGTCGGTAATGCACAGAATCAATTATATTGAGGTCTGGGATCGAGACCTGCTAACAACCGTAAGACGTACTTTGTTTTTCCCTTTTTATAAAAAAAGAAAGAAAAACATCACAATTACTTAAGTTTTTTTAAAGTTTCTTTTATGATTACTTTTCCCCATAAATTAGCGTGCTGAGGATGGTATGATTTCATTTTTATTTACTGGATCTTATTTTGGATGTTCATGTTAAGCAATGGTTCAAAACATAATAAATAAATCTCTTTTTTCTTGTAGACTACGAACATGTAGAGACATGTAATACACTCAAAAATATATAAATATAGTAAAATGAAACGCTTTTGAGATAAATATAAGAAAAATCTTATAGATATCTAAGAGAAAAAAGAATAGCCCGTGGCTCGATGGGAATGGATATCGATAGAAACAGATATGGACAATCACTATCGCCCAGCAGAATGCGTGTTTCCTTACACGTCACGTGATGGAATTTTAGTATTCACAGAGTTACCTTGGGTATAGAAATCACGTGGTTAATTATAATATTCAACAGGTAACGACGTGGTCAAAATGGCCTGTTTACTATAGAGAAAGTGAACACACGAAGAAACAGTTTTTCTCTTTTTAACCTTGAGCGCATGTTTGTCTATTGATCTCCTTTTAATTTGAGGTAATATATATAAATATACAACTACCATAAAAAGGAGAACAATAGACAAACATGCGCTGACTATGTATTAAGCCTATAAAAAGGTGGGCGTACTCATTATCCTATGGAGATTCCAGAATATGCGATGACCCCTCCCTATAAAAACGACTTCGAACTTCGTTAATACGAACTTTTAATTAACGTAATTACACAAAGTTGCAGTTAAGACATTGGCCATTTCTACCATTAAAAGAAAAATGCCCATTTTTAAAATTAATTATGTCGCAATTTCTAAGTTTCCTTAAGTGCAGTCATCCAAAGTTTTATCAGATGGACTTTGCAAAACTTCCATTTATTTATATACCAAAAAAGTTTATAATCACCACTGGTACTTGTGGACAGTCACCTCTTCGCCTACACCCCCCCCCCCCCCCCCCCCGAAATATACATCATGGGTCTACGGATATTTTATTTGCTTCTTTCATGAATTATATTCTTATAACAAATTTTCAATTGTATTACATAAAGGGGAAAACACATGGATTAATGTTTTAGGGAAAAAAGTATTCTCGGGGAAAGACATCTGTAGTTGAGTTAGTGAACAAATTCTTAAATTTGGTAAAAATAAAATAAAGGCAAGTCATAATTAATCTATTTCAAAGAGTATTATATGAATCTTGCAGATGCTCAGAATCGTCTAATTTTACACGTGGCTAAGCATGGAATTCGAACGTCATGTCCAGTTCCCAATCTATGCAACGAATTGTGGTCTTTGGAACAACTAGACAGTTCAGGTAATGTAAGGATATGTCCTACGGCCTTCAAACGATCTCAATTTTGTACTGTTTGGCTATTGTTGTACTATTTTAACATTCTTTTAAGGGATAAAATCGTTTTGATCTTTCTGTTCTTTCACAAATTGTACGCGCGGGCCAGATAACTTTGCAATTATTCATTGTTCATAGCAATTGGAATGAATTCAAACCGTAGTTTGGGTATATGTAGTCCATATACATGTATATACTGACGTGTCATAATCTTTACTCCAATTTATATTTTAAGGCCAAAGTCATTATGGATACTTTTTTCTTGATGTATAATGAATCCTTCATTGAAAGGAATTCCAAGTCCTCCCTGACTTATGTTTGGCATGTGAAAATCAGTTGTTTTTTTTTTTTTGACAGATTCAAAGTACATCGTTCGTCTGTTTACCTTCGTTCCCGGTAGAGTATTTGTTGGTATCAGATACACTTCTTCATTAGTTCACAGTGTTGGTAAATTGGCGGGAAAATTGGATGCAGCGTGTTTGGTGTGTAATCTCATTTAGTCAACATTTTACATTACAACTGAATGTATGTCATTCAGTCCTTATCGAAACTACTAGTATAGGAGAAAGTGATTGCTGAAAAAATTAAGTTAAACATACTTTATCATCATTTAAAAAATGAAACTCGGAAAAAATTGGAATTAAAAAAATATCGCGAATGTACAACTATTTACAGGAATTTAATGACAAAGCCTTCACTGATCATAAAAGGATTTGGAGTTTGACAGAAGTTCCAAAACTTACCAAGTTCCTAACTTGCTTAAAGGAGGAGGAGAAGCGACAGTCCGTATTGTTCGTAATAAAACAGTTCAACGATTCAGTTGTTTCCAGTTACAGTAAACTCAAAACAGGTATTGTCCACAGGATAATTTTCAGCTTGTGTTATGTAGAATCTCACACCTGTAAACAATTTTCCCCGAACTTAGATCATCGAAATACAGTTGTGTTAGGGGGTTCTTTAAATTCTTTCTGTTCTAAATTGCCCACTTGTGACGAAGACGAAAAAAGCGAAAATAAAGGAGAGCGAAATTAATTTTTTTAATCAGTATTACACGTATAGTGAACTTCCTCCCCCAGAAAATGGACCAAAATTGGATTCAAATTCTCATAACTCAATGGCTCTGAGTGCCGAGTATAGGTCTAACTTGAATCCATTCAACGCCAACTGTGTCTCTCTCTCTCTATATATATATATGAGTGAAAAAAATCTTCTTGATTGGGACGTTAAATAAACAACATACCGTTCGTTCGTTAGCGCTTTTTAAAGTTTCGATTACCTTTGTTTGTCTATATACATGTAGTCATGTACATGTAGTTAACATTTTCTTTGAAAGTGTCTTTTGGTGGGAGGGGGTAAAAAGGTATATTGTACTCAATGGGTATACTTCACAGTGAAGCTAGGAACTTTTCTTCATACATAGGCGATATTTTGCTGAAAAGGGTTTGATTCTTTAAAAAGTTCATTACATGTAATTGTGGAATATTATTATGCAAGCGAAAGAGAAAGATCTTTCAAATGGTTAACAACTATAGTTCTTCTCATTTTTATGCATCTTGAAATAAAATAATTCTTTACAGGAGTTCTTCATGGCGATTTGAGTGACCACAATATTCTTATTAACCCGTCTACGTCATCAGCAGACGACTACGAGGTTGTTGGCTTTCTGGACTTTGGTGATGCTACAGTTGCATATTATGTGTTTGAAATCGCCATACTAATGTGTTACATCTTGCTTGGTGCTGATGAAGAGGATGATCCAATTGAGTTAGCGGGCCACGCACTTGCAGGTTACTTGTCCGAATTTCCTCTCCCCTCAATGGACTTATCAGTTCTAAAGATATGTATTTCGGCGCGACTGGTCCAATCTCTTGTGATGGGAGCATACACTGCTTCGGTTCAACCCGGCAATACTGATTATGTTTTGAATACACAAAACAAAGGATGGATGCTTCTACATGAGTTTATTGCCAAATCTGATTCAGGAGTGTTCGATTTGTGGGAAAGAATTCTGCTTGAGTATGGCTTAAAATTTGATTTCAGATGATGTCAATGTTTACTGAAAGTATTCAAGGTGCATGTTGCCTGTTCCTTACTTAATTTGCAGATCAACAATATAAGCCTATATGACTTTCCAGAATCATTTAAGTGGTTGTAAACGTGTTGTGTGTGCGCTTAAAAAATTAGAAATAAATCTGTAAATTTTTTGTGTTCAAAATGTTTCAATAAAAAATTCAATCTATACAAAATATTGTAAGTTAATATTATCTATACTCACGGAATAAGAAGCAGTTTTGTGACACAGTAAAAGATCACATAGCCCCTCCCCCTGAATCTAAAGCCATGCAGTTTCCATGGATGTGTGTCGTTATAGATTTCAGCCAAGGCCACACCCAATAAAATGCTAGCTGCATATAAAATTATGAGGGGAGGGGGCGACACATTGTCACAAGTATAATCCTTTCTATTTTTTCCAACTGTTACACTTGCAGTAGATAATCATTGCTCTCATCCACCCATCAAAAAAAGGGGATTGGGTTTTTTTAATCTCCTTTTCCTCAGTAACTGCTCAACCAGTAATACTTTAATTTTCTTTGCATCTTGTCATTTGAATTAATGACAGGTTTTATTTGCTGACAAGTTAATTTTATACATGTACGTACTACGGTTTACATGAACAGTTACTTTCTGTGTGCTTTTTGTGTGTCCATCTCTCTCTCTCTCTCTCTTCAGTTCGATATATATAAAACCAATACTGTGGCGATAAAGTTTTTTTTTTAAATAGAATTTTCTCACGCATACTTTGCCTAGTAATAGACCCGGTGAGTAAGCTTATTAGAACACAGTATCGATACAAGTAATATTTGTTCGGGTTCGACATGCAAAAAATTATTCCCGCAATTTCTGCTGGCTGTCGATGTGCTGCTGTTTGAATCATGAATGGGTTTGGTAAATGATTTTTGTTATCACATCTCTGGGTACGGTTGCTGAACTGATTTTATAACAGACATAATATTTAAACTTCATTTATTACGTACAATATTCTATCTGTAATTTTGTTTAATATAGGCCTATTTAGTAAAGCTGAAAAATTATCAATCTTTGTAGAGTTGTCCCTCTTTTGATGTCATCGCACTAAAAGTACCATTTTACTGAATTAATGGCACATTACATTTGAAAACTGGGATTGTATTTATAATCATTATAGTTTAAAAAAGGTCTGGTGATAAGCAAAGTAAAATATGCAATGGAACATTTTCAGCTTCTTATTCAACCAATTTAAACCAATTTTGGCGCATAGCATCTATGGGTTACTGTGAAGGGGAACAAAAATTGTGAATTTCATGGTTTTTGCCCTCCTGGGGCCTGAGGTTTGGGGCCAAAAACCACTGAAATTAATGCAATCTTTAAAAATCTTCTTCTACATGATGCTCAAGTGACCTATATTGAATATAGTATAAATACAGTGAAACCTGTCTAATCTGACATGCTTTTTGAGATGAATTTTGTGTTGGAATATACAGGGTGTCGGATTGCAAAGTGTAAAAAAAAAATGGAAAATAGTAAAAATGGGAATGAAATTTTAAGTCAGCTAGAATTCACAGTTTGACAGATATTGCACAGGTGTCGAATCAGACAATATTACAGTTTCAATTGATACATTGAAATATATAGGAATAATCTTTTAAAATCTTCTGTGGAACCTCTGGAGCAGAAATGTTGAAACTAATATGTTGAGCATTCTTGGGTAGTGTAGGTTCTAAATTATGTAGGGTAGTGTGACAATAGGTATTACCAAGCGAAAATCTGGTGAAGAAGAGCAGGACCAAAGTCACTCAGGTGAGCATTGTGGTCAATGGGCCTCTTCTTTAAAAATTATCTTGTCAAAAACTAGTGGACTTGAAAAAGGTGAAACTTATGTGAAATTACAAACTGTAAATTCAAATTTGTTCATATTTGGATCCCAGGGGTAGGACTGAGCCACAACAAGGGAATCAAAGTTTTTAAAAAAATCTTCTACAGAACATCAAAGCCATTTTGGCCATTTTGGCAATTATTACGTATACATTTGTCCAGAGCTAGATGAAATTTGGCAAATAAATAGCAATACACTAAAAATTGATAAAATATCTATTGCTATTTCAATTTATGAATTATAAGGTCATTAGAAGTTTTTTCTTTGTTTAGCTTCCACCCTTAGGCTAAATTCGAAAACCTATCTTTCTATCTGGGAAAAAGCACAAACCAAAAGGAAAACATACACATCTTATGAACAGTTCTAAAATTTCTCATCATCATTTGAAACTTCTTTTTTGCATTGTAACTGAATAAAATTGCTAGTTTATTAAAAAATATAGTTTGTTACACTACTTAAAAAAAAGAGTTACTGATCCCAGAAGAGTACATTGTGTCACGAAGATTTGTTTTTTTTTAAAAATTTGAAATGTGTTGTTTTTAAAACCAGTCAATCTGTGGATGCTAAACATAGAAAAAATTGGGAATGGTCTAATAGCATTTTAACAAAATATTATACATATACATGTATATGCAATGTTATTGTGTACATTTGAATAAAAAAAAAAATCTTGTTATCCTTATATTTTTAGTTAATTCCACTCTGACTGTCAGCATTGAATTCTAAATTTGATGATGGTGTCTGGTGCTGATTAAATAACGCTGCACAAGACAAGGAAAGGCTTTGTTTTATGACAGAAACACGTGAGGAAATCAACTCAATCCTCAGGTGAGGCGGCATGTCTGACAATACAACACACTTGTTATCTGTTTTCCTTGAATTTTTTTTTACATAAAAGGATTTAAAAGTGTTTTTATTTTCACATTGACTAGTTCTCTTTCCTGGTGTATTTTTAGGACAGTAATTAATTGATGATCACAGAATTTTAACTTTGATGTGTCATCATATTGATATATGATCTGAAGCATCATACAGCAGACTGAAAGAGTTGTAGTTCCTAAGGCAAACTACCTGTACAATATTTACGATAATGAATCTTCATGTAGTTTGTTTTAGTTTCACTATAACTGCAGTTATGTACACTGAATTGAACATGAGTGGGATATAAGATCTGAAGAATTATAATATGAATGTTTTCCCCTTCACCATGTTTACTATAAGACCACGAACAAGTGCATGTTTACCTTTTGGTTACCTTAATGTCACAAAACCAATTAATATTGTAAACATTTTTTATTAAAAAGAAACTGTTGGATCACCCGAGTGACTCAGGTGACTTTTTGTTTTGGATAGTTTTCATGCTTCAGTTGTAAACTTTTGAATACATTCTTCTTGGAACTGCTGAACCAATTTCAGCCAACTTTGGCATATAGAAGAGAAAAATAAAAATATACATTTCACAGTCTTTATATACAGTTAGTGAGAATTCATTCATCCCCTGAAAATCTTCTTTTCTGCTCTTGGGTACAGGGTAAGCAGACAGACTGAGTGATTATGATGAGCACTGATACCTCTTCCAAAATAGTGAAACTCATAGTCCTTATTAGGGTATGACTCTATTGAACATTCAGGGAAAATTATTAATTCTTTGAAATTAATCTACTTTTCTAATTTCAACCAAACTTGCCATGAAGTAATCTTAGGTAAAGGAGGTCCAATTTTTTTCCCAATTGAAGGTCCATTCCTTTTTTCAAGGGTATAGATAATAAGTGAAAAATTAATGGCATCTTTTAAGAATCTCCTCAAGAACCAATGGGCTAAAAAATATGAAACTAATGTGGTTTGATCAAGTTTTACAAGGGAAAATATTGGAAAAAGAATCTGCTGAAGTAATCATTAATTTATCACTATCAGCTGTTCAGGTGTGTGTTGTGGCACCATGGGCATCTTGCTATTGCTGTTGCCTTTCTCTTCCTTTGCTATAGGTACATAGCAGTAGAGCTACCGTACAGTCATTTTACCAGTAACCAATCAGTTTCTAGTTACGTCTTAAATACAACCCACATCTTTGAATTTCCAAATTTTCTTTGCTGTTGTTAAATTTGTATTTCTAAGCTTTACAAATAAGTGGTACCAAAATTTCCAAAATAAAAATGGTAGAAGGACAAAGTTGTCAAAAACAACACCCCCCTATTTTCCTAGTTTCGAATCGATTTTTCAGTATCGAATCATGTGTCCTCTATTGTTGCTGACATAAAAAATGAAATCAGTTGATCAAAATTATTGTAGAAATATACCTTCAAGAAAATTCTACGTAAACTATATAGGCATTACTTGTTGATTCAAATGATTATTTTTATAAAACTAAACAAGGCCAAAATAAAATTATAGTTTGTTTGGAATTGCCTCCCGCCTCATTGAAATGCCCCCTCCTGAAAAAATTTTATTGACCAAAAGTAGGAAGATTTTTTTTTTTATTTAATCAATTTTCTTTGCCCATTACATGTATCACATGCACCATACAAAACACTGAAATAAAGTGTCAGATCTATGTAAAATTACGTTTTCAATTAAAAAAAAATAATTTCCCTCCCTCCCTCCTGTGTCTGAAACCCTTCAGGCGGCAATTCCAAACAAACAATTTTTTAAGGATGGCCCAATATGAAAAATGTTGCATTTTACGAGAAACTGTAAGTGACATGCGTTATTAAAATCAATTCAACCATCTCTGAGACATAATTTTCATGGAATATCTTTGCTTATAAAACATTTTGATAGTATTTTCCCTTCTGTCAGATTTTTTTGTTTTTGCATCCCGTAAAACGGTATTTTTCGTTCTTCAAAAATTCATGATTCGTAACTAAGAAAACAACATGTGGTTAGTTTTGATGTTGAATTTCATTTAAAAGTCAATTTTTGTTTAATTTGATATTCTATCTTTTTGTATTTTTCCTAAATATTGATTACATACTCAATCTGGATCGACAACATATCGAAAATTTTTATTTAGACGCATTTGTTGACACACTTTCGTTTTCTTAGATTTGCACTTGCGCGTGTTAAAATTTAGGTCATATTGTTTCAAATTGTAAATACTGTGGGAAATAATCATGCAGATATTACAAAAACACAACACAGAGGTTGCATATTCATCCAATTATTGTATTTACCTAGTAAGATTTTTA